CTCTCCCCACAGATAAAACAGGCAATCTGTTTTTTGGGGACTGGAAACAGTGAAATCCAAAAAGTCTGGGGGAGGTTCTAGGACAACCTGGGGAGTATTGCCAGTGAAGTGGTGGGATCCAGCATCAACCTGAGTGGCTGCTAGTGGATTTTTGTGCCTGGACCTAAATTTGGATACATTTATCAGTAAGCCAGAGAACATAAACACAAACAAACAACTTTTGTGGCCTTCATTGCCTCGTTCATTCTCTCCATGCTTGGTGAGGTTTAACAAAGACAAACAAGTGCCAGACTCTGCACCATGGATGGAGCACCCTGGGTGTACAGGCAGGCTGGAACAAGGAGCTGGAGAGATGACACAGGAAGGGTGCTGGCCCTGCCCAGGCTCCCAGGGATGGGCACTGGAGGCTGCCAGAGCTCCAGAAGGGTTTGGACACCAGGGATGCACAGGGGGGATTGCTGGGGGTCTGCAGGGAATGGAGCTGGACTGGATGGTCCTTATAGAATGTCTTCAAGTAGAAGGGATGCACAATTCTAATTACAAACAACTGCTATTACAGTAACTATCCCAGATTTTTGCTTAAAAACATCTCTTAAACCACGTCCTAACCCGTTTAAAGCATCACGAACAACACATGCTCCATAAAACAGGAGCTGCAGTACCCCAAATGCAGCTTCCTAATGCTTTTTCACTTTATTACCTATGTCATTGTGGATTCAGAGGCTGTCTCCTGTGAAAGAACAGTGGCATTTGCTAGAGCCCAGATTTCACAGCACATCTGCCGTGGTGCTGGAAGAGCATGCAGAGGAGATGGAGAAGATGCAGCAGTGTATAGCAAGTGGAAGATCTACCCAACTAATCAAGTCCTCAGGGACAGCATGCAGTGTCACCAGACATATCACTCTACACTTGAATGAGGTTGTCAGCCACAGGGAGGCTGCAAGCTGCTGACAGCACTGTGCAGGATGGGGAGGCTTCTAAAGGAGACACAGAACCTTTGTAAAGTATGTACCTGCTTCTAAAAGTGGGTGAAGGGGGGGAAAAAAGAAATGAAGTACAAAAGGGTATTTGCAAATCTGTCACTCGGTGTTCTACTGCTGGGAATAAACCCAAACTCATTTGACATGTGTTGCATGAACACAAAAAAGGTTATTTTGCAGGTTTCTCAAAATGCATATATACATTTTTATATGTGCAGATCAAAATAATATGAGACTCATTTTAATAAGAATTATATAAATCAAAATGATATAGAATGAATCAGAAGAGATAGAACTTAATAAGGATGATATAAATCACAAAGAGAACGTCCAAAGGAGGGACACAGGGCACGAAGCTGTACCAGGGGATGGTTGTGCTGAAAATCAGGGAAAGATTCTTCCCTCAGAGGTGCTGGCACTGCCCAGGCTCCCAGGAATGGGCACTGGAGGCTGCCAGAGCCCCAGGAGGGTCTCAACACCAGGGATGCCCAGGGGGGATTGTTGGGGGTCTGGGCAGGGACAGGAGCTGGACTGGATGATCCTTGTGAATCCCTTCCAACACAGGATATTCTATTCCATGATTCTATGAAAATACCATGTGGCAAAATAAATGCCATATGAATACAGCCCAAAAAAAAGTAAGTTAAAAACTAGAATATTTATTGCTTTTTATAGGAAATCTCATAAATTCAGAAAGCACTTCTTTATAGATGTGTGAACTCGAGTAGAGTTGCTCATTTTGAGCTTGATCCTACCAAACATAATGACAAAAATTGGCATTAAAAGTGCATATAACTCAAATTCATTCTAAGAGGTTCAAGAATGAAAGCAAAAGATTTGCTCCGGTCCTTTACTCGAGTCATTGAAGAAAGACACCACACTTTAAAAGGTGTTCACATTAATTCCTCCTATTAGTCTCACCCCAGTTTACTTCATTTATTAGAGCAAATACACTGAGAATGCATTTATTACTCTATATCCATGCAGAACAGCAATGAAAAAGCACCTTTGAAGTGTGTGCAGTTGCATTGCAACACTTAAAACTCCAGAGGAGAGTCTTTATGTCTGGGAGCTGTTTCCCCTGGAAAAACTGAGCAGTTTAATAAAATATACTACAGACCTCTGTAATCTTGTCTTGCTAAATTTCCCTGCACTTCACAAACTTTGGTATGAGACCTTTTTAACCAACAGGAGGAACTCACAGTCTCTGCATTCAGGCTTTGACTTGCAAAGTGATTTGTGTTCTGTTTGTATCCTATAAAATTAATCTCAGTTTTCAGTTTTATTTTGCTGATAAATTCCACCAATTCCTTTAGGACCAAATGCTTCTATTCAGTGCCTTTCCACTCACTAACATGAAAACCATTATTTAAATATCAGTTCTATTCTGAGAAGCTCAAGAGCTGAATTTTCAGTGAGTTTTAAAGGTACCTCTGAGAACATAAAACAAATCCTGCTTGTCTGTGTATTGTTTCTGTTTGTGCAAAACTTATTTTTGTATTTATTCTCCAAAAGCACCTGACTAAATGTTTGTACAAAACATACATGACTATGAAAAGCACCAGGTACACTCTACAACACTGCAGAGACAAAAACTGCAACAAAGATCTGCATAATTAGATTTGCTTCTAGAACGTTTTCTTTGAAGCAATTAACCACCAAATAAAAGATTCATTTGAAGATTATACTAGAACTTTCAACATGTAAAAAGCACATAGCAAGCAATACTGACTCTTTAACAGGACAAAAGCACATTTATATCCAGAAAATGCAGCAAAAATGGGGCAGACATTTGATATCGCTCTCTCCATGATGTTAAGCCTCACTGCACTCACTATATCCTGTTTTACTGAGTGTCCTTCATTCAAAGTCTGGCCAAAAAAAGAAAAAAGAAAATCAAGGTAAGTGATAGGGCAGAAAAAATAATTAATAACATCCTGGAACAAAGGAAATACCCCAGGTGTGCAAATGGTTTGGCAGGGGAAAACCCAGGAGGCTGGAGGAAGAGTGGAAGTGGAAAAGCCGGGAGGAGGAACCAGGTAAGTGCAAATCCACTGCAAGTTCTGACAATGAGGTTATTTTTAAATTGCAGTGGATAAGAAACCAATGAGGGTGACAGAGGACAAACCACAGCCTAACTTCACAGAGAAGCAAAGTATTTTGCTTGTGACATTCTGTACACCCTTAAGTTTTGGGAAGGATTGCCAGAAGTATAATTGAGGGAGTCTCTGCTTTCCAGTCAGGAAGGATTAAGAGCAGCTCTGAAAGCTGTGGTACCTCTGCTCCCACCAGCCTGAAAGCACTCTCAATACTCACAAGCCTTAGGAAAGAAAAATAAGTCAGAAACATGGATGATTTTTCTGGAGAGGGAGGAAAAAATAGAGAGAAGAATTCCAAAAATATTCTATGTCTATGTTCTAATGAATAAACCAAAAATTCCTCCCTATGGGAACAAACTTTGCTTCTTGCTCATTTCCGTCTATAACATGCAGTGTTTTAATTATGCAGCAGTCTCAACAAATAGAGTGTCACAGCATTTTAGCTAATTCCATTTAAACTGCCAGCAGAAGAGGGGATAATGTCTTCCTTGGTTTGGCTTAGTTTAACCTACCCACTTCTATTCACCAATGACTCAAACAATTCAGGATATTATAATGACCAAAAAAAACCCCTTAAAATAGTAGAAATATTTAGACCTGGATATATCCTGAAAATCAAAATACCACAAAGTACAAACCCAGGATTCTCCCCAGCTACTCCAAATAATTTTAAAAGCACGACTAAAATATTCCAGAAAGAATAGGTTGAATAAAACATTTTAAGATGTGAAATATGCACTTTGCTGTCTCTGTGAAATTGAGCTACCTTACTAACCCCAGAGAAACAAATGAGAACAGATAACAAATAGCTGATATAAATGTAAATTGACACAGCACCAAAAGCCACTGCATAGAAAGCTCATTACACCTTCTAACCCTGTCTCACCTGGAAAGTGGCTACACTAGGGAAGATTTGGGAATGCACTTGATCTCTGTTCTCTTCAATAGAATAGAGCTATTGACAGTCCCTATATTATACTATATGCTATTCATTTATCCATGGAAATTCCAAGATTACCATGAAATTAACTGTTATCCATCATTTTGTCTAGGTTTTTTTTACTCAACCGCAGTAGCCAGCTAGTAAGACAATAATACACTTTGTTGTTCAGAGAGAATTGAACTTTAGTGATAAACAATTAAGGTATTTATACCTGCTCACTGCTAAACATGCATTTATGAACAGATCATTCTTTTCTAAGAATAATTCTGAGGATAATTCATCCCTGATGGATACAGATGGCTCATACAAGTGCAAGGCTGATTCACTGACTGGAGGTAACACCCTGAGCTACACAATAAACTAATGCATGGCAACAAGCAAAGCTTTAGGGCAGCAGAAAAGCTGTGACACTGAAAAATGTGATATTTTGCCCTGTGTTATTTTCCTAACATTGACAATAAATTAAAATATCCGTGGCAATAATGTTATTCCATATGTGTGCATAGACCTCCATATAAACTAGGACCTCATAATTTGCTGTACAGTCCACACTTTCCTTTCTGGTTCTTATTTTTTAAAAATTCTCAGAGCATAAACAACTTGATTCATCAGACTAGAGATAGAACATGACCTATAGGTGTAACAACCTTTAAGAATGCACAGGAACATATTGCAAAGAGCTGCTTTGGTAAAAAATCTTCAGCTGACAGAGGTGAGGAGTGGTGACTAATGATACAAAAGAAAGGATATAAACATGCTTGTGGGCTTTTTTGACAAATGGAATATGCATATTTTTGTTGAAAATAGCAGGTTATCTAACTAGGAAATCATGTCCTTACAGTCAGGTACATTTAAAGCACAAATCTATGGATATCAAAGCACCTCAGTCTGAAATTCCTTAGAAATGCCTGAATGACTGAGAACCTTCTCACGTCACACATTTATACACTCAGAGAAAAAAACCAAATCTTGCCTTACCCGGCCAACTAGGATTGGTTCAGGTCCAGAAAATTCTTCCAATACAAACATTTGATTCCAAACCCAGCCTCTCTTGGAACGGTGCAAAACTCTTTGTTCTTCATTTAGCCTTTTTAGTCCTGTACTGGATCCACTTGGTAGTACTTGAGATTGATTCATTGGAGCCATATAAATGGAAGGAAGGACAGTAATCCATAATATTATTAATGGAGTCCATGTATCCATGAGCATTTCCGTTAGTCTTTCTGGCATTGTACCACACGCTACGCAAATCACCACAAAAATGAAATTATTATTATTTTGCTTTCCTCCAGACTGTAGCAATCCAATTCATCACGCAGTACAGAACATTTACTTACAGCTCCTCCATGTGTTTACAGCACAGTCAATGTAAAAATAGCTTAGATGAGAAAAACATGATCCATTGAGTTTTCCAGTCATTAAAGATTCCTGGTGGGGGAAAGAAGAAAAGAAACTTCAAATCAGTGACTAAAGAGCTTAGGAAAGCATTCTGAAACATCTTATTTACTTTTACATCATAAATAAGCCATGTTAGCTTTTAAATTTGTAGTTCAGAATGTTATTGCATAGTTAAATTGATTCTGTGTATTCTTTCATTGCCTCAAACACCAAGAGAAGACCCAGATAAATTATTACACACACTTAGGAAAATATTCAGGCCTAAGAATTGGACAGGGTTTGCAGCAGCCTGGGCTAGTGGAAGGTGTCCCTGTCCATTGGAGGGAGGTGGAAATGGAGGATATTGAAGGTCCCTCCTAACCCAGACCATTCTGGGATCTTGCAGTTCATCTGAGGGTCTGAAGAAGCTGCCAACCTTCTCACTATCCTGCACTGTTAATGTGGTCAATTACAAACACATGTTCTGTCATATCAGCAAATAAAAATCATGTTCTTGCATTCTTATTCTCCTTTCCTCCACAAGAAATAAAAACCCAAACTTCTCCTGAGTGTACAAGGCTCCAGCAGCCCATTGTCAGTTTAGCCATCACCTCTCTGCAGCAGCACCGCTGCCCAGCAAACCCTGCAGAAACAGCACTGCTAAATCCTCAGTGAAATCCATGATTCCCAAACCAGACCACTAAGGAAACTCATTCATGCACATCTGCACTACAGGTCTCAGTGTCTCTCCTTCACTTTCAGAGAAAGCACACAGTCATGTTTCATTTCAAAGACATTTTCCTAGATGGACACTTGGGAGCATTTTGTCTTTCTTTCCTTGCCCATCCTTTGATGTACTAAAAGGTCACACCACGTTTCATCTCAGAGTAAATATTCCTTGAAATGGAAAGGCAAGTTAACATAGCAGGGCTGATACCAGAGGGATGGGCAAACCCAGAAATGGAAAACTAGATGGGATGTGGCTCAGAGAGAGGGGCTGTGTTACAGGGTATGGAGTTACCTGAAAAGGGTCTTGATCCATTTCCTTTGATTCATATCCAAACAATCTCAGGAGAAACCACTACATACAAGAGAGTAGCAATGCCTATTCTTAAGCTTACACTGGGATTTATGCTGGTTTTCTTCAACTTTCAGATTAACTCCTAGTATTGCATGTTTATGAAAATCCTGAGAGCTTAAATAGGTCTTTGGGTTTTCGGTTTTTTTTTTGGGGGGGGATGGTTTGTTGTTCTTTTTTAAGGTTCATACACACTTATAGCACAAAACTGTCATAATCTAATTGCAGAGGTTCCATAATGTTGTCTCCTTACCACAAAGGTTCCATACCTTCTTGGTGTCTCTCATGGGCAGCTCCTCACAGCACTGACTCTTTCCTCCTCACAAAGCACCCAACTGACTCCAGTTCCGATCTCACTCACTCACCCACCCCACTCTTTTATAGCATCTTCTTCTCATTGCTTACAGCTGGGGCCTGTTAAAGTCAGGCCTGTTCCTAATCTTTGATAATCGGCTCAGCTGCAACTCCTTAGGGGTAAGATTACTTTCTACACTATCTTTATTTTCTTATATTCTATCCCCCTACATAAAACATGCAGAACACCTTTTACATGACCAGTAAAAGTCAGCTGTTCTTTTAAAAGCAAACAATGTAGAAAGTATTTTTTTTTAAACTTCAGTAATTGCCAAAGCAACTGTGAAATCTGTTGCATGAAAACCCGAAACTGTGAGAAACTTGTCTTGTTAGAAGGGGAGAGGAGCTGCTACCAAAGTGAAACTCAATCTCTCAAGCAGCATGGAAGAATGGTGAGCTAATAGTGCAGTGCTTTGACAATGCATCCAGAATGAGGGAATATCCATTACAGCAGAACCTGGAGCTTTATAGGCCTCACTGCCAACTGGGGTGGAAATAAAGGAATCAGAGAATACAGCAAGCTCTTGAGAGCAAGTTTTGGAGAAAATGTGAGAGAAGTGAGAGGTTTTAAATGTCTTGACATTCTCTTAATCCCAGAAAAGGAAGAGGAACAAACAGTCTAATGATGGGATGCATCATTCAGCCTCTGAAAAGCCTCTTCAGTCCAGGGAATTAAATGGAGTTTACTACTGCTGCTTTCTGGCACATGTTAAACAGAGATTTCCAGGGCATGTTTTGGGGTAGAAGGTATTGAAAGAGAGAAACAGCCAAATTTCAGTCAAAGTGATTGGTTTTGCTCAGAGGGGATCCTCTTTATATCTGACTGGATGAGTGGGTGCCTGTGCCTGCCAGGAGACAGATTTTTCTGGTTTCTCCAATGATGCAAGAATCAAAACACGGGAGAAATAAAAGCACTGTAAAACAGAGCAAGAGACAGCATCTTCAACCAACACCCAGGATTAAATTCAAAATGGAGGGCAGAAACTGAAAACACAATTTAAGGGTCCTTTTTAGGGGTTGAACAGAGCAAGATGTAATGTACTTTTTAGAGTGACTGTTTCTGGGTGAAGAACCACATTGCATATAAACCTCAAAAACCCCTCAGAGAAAAGGACCCAAGTGGGCATGAGTGACTTCCTTACACTTCCAGCACAAGTTGATATAGTTCTTTTTATCAACAGGACCAAATAATAATAAAGCACTTTCCTTCATATTCAAGAAGCTTTTTGAAAACAATTCTAATTAATCTCCATAGCCTGCCTTCTAAAAGAAATGAAATAAATGAGATAAAACAATATGAAGCTTCCAGAACTATTTTTGGTTGAAGAAAGAACAGGATATTTGCTTTTCACACTGCCACTCTCAATCCTTAGAAAGCATTAAGTTCATTTCAGTGCATCCCTCCTCGGTTCCTCCCCCAGACTTCCTGCTTGTTACTCTTCATTTACTCCAATCAAATTTAGGTCCTATCCACTCACACTAATAGAGAAGATTCACTGTGACTGGGCTGTCCTCACAGTAGCTGTGTGTTCAGCAATACCTTAAGGCAAACGAGTCCAAAGCACATCAGGAACATCAGCAATGCACACCCCATGCCATTAAACCCCCTGAGTGAAACAGCCCTGTGAGCAGCACACTTACACAGAGCACACAAAGCTGGGAGATTCTGAGCACTGGCAGCAAAGCTGGGCAGTGCAGGGCAAAGGAAAAATACCCAATGGGGCTTTGGCACATCCCAGTCCTGCAGAGGGATGTGATCAGTGTGGAAATATTGAGCTGGATAAAGTTATCCACTATAGTACTCACATTCTCTGAACAGAGACAGAATTCTCTCTCCCAGGGTTTTTCCTGGAGAAGCACAGAGAGAGGAAGAGAAAACAATTCTTATCTCTACTTGCTGCTCCTGTTGTTTTTGCACATGTGGAATGTGTTATGGAGATTGTTTACCTGAAGGGATTTGGCAATTGGATTCTGCTGAGGATTGCTTTGTTTCCTTGGCCAGTTGGGTCAAAGCAGTGTCCTGGCTGTCTCAGACAGTCACAGATTTTTCTTTAGTATTCTTTGAAGTATGGTATTTCTTTAGTATAGTCATAATATAGTATTAATGTAATATAATATAGTTTAATAAAGCAATTGTTCAGCATTCTGTATCATGGAGTCAGATGCTAATCATTCCCTGCATCAGGGGCTCCCTGAATTCTGTACTCCACAGCTCAACCTGGACTGCAGGAGCCTTGTAAGAGTTATTTGAGAAACAGACTCTCATTCAGGCTCTGTCAGTGAATCAGGGCACACACTTTATGCAATGCATGGACGTGGGATTGTCCCCAGATTTCTTTACCAAATCTGGAAATTACTTTTCTGCCCCATTCCTGGGAACAGAACACCCTGCATGTGGCTGGGAGCTGATGGGAGGCATTTTTAATATGTGGCCCAGCAATTTACACATTGGCTAATAGGAAAGCTGAGAAGTGCCAAACATTTCCATTGTAATCCTCTAGATTGGATGTGTAGGAGGGCACCACAGGGTTCTTGAACCAGTCTGTATAACATATTAAAAAGCAATATATAAAGGCAGACTTGGAAATCAAGGAAGACCAGTAGGTGAGGCACAGTAGCACTTTCCCTTCTTATGTTATGCCATGGTCTAAAGCAGTGGTGAGTGTGGAATGACAGCAAAATTATTCCAGTGAAGCCAGAATTACCTTTTTTCTTAGCAACAAAAAGAAGAGAAGCACGTGGCCCTTCAAGAGTGTATTTCACAGAATCATAGAATGGGTTGGGTTGGGAGGGACTTTAAATCCCATCCAGTGCCACCCCAGCCATGGCAGGGACACCTTCCACTGTCCCAGGCTGCTCCAGCCCCAGTGTCCAGCCTGGCCTTGGGCACTGCCAGGGATGCAGGGGCAGCCCCAGCTGCTCTGGGCACCCTGTGCCAGGGCCTGCCCACCCTGCCAGGGAACAATTCCTCATTGCCAAGATCCCACCCAGCCCTGCCCTCTGGCACTGGCAGCCATTCCCTGGCTCCTGTCCCTCCAGCCCTTGGCCATTGTCTCTCTCCATCTTTCCTGCAGCTCCTTCAGGCCCTGCAAGGCCACCCTGAGCTCACCAAAGCTTCTCCTGTGCAGGTGAGCAATGCCAGCTGTGCCAGCCTTTCCTCCCAGCAGAGCTGCTCCATCCCTCTGCCCATCCTGGAGCCTCCTCTGGGCTCTCTGAGCAGCTCCAGGTCCCTCCTGAGCTGGCCCCAAAGCTGGAGGCAGAGCTCCACCTTCATCAAGATTTTGCTTGTGTTGATGAAAGTACAATTTTTGCTTTTAATCTCCACATGTTCAGATGGCCTTGGGCTGTTGCCTTAAACAAAACTTCAGTGATGTTCTGAGTGGTTTCCCTGCACACTGTTGGGTGTATACAACTCCAGATCAACTCTAATCCAGCAAAGCTGTTTACAAAACAGCTTGAGTTCTCCATTCATGCCTGAGAGGGGAAAGTGATATTTAAAATATAAAGAATTTCTTTAATGTAGCAAATAGATGAAAGAAAATGCTCCACTATGTCATGGAGCACAGATTCAAACAACTGCCTTATGTCCTCAAAAAACTTAAAACTGTATTCATAAATG